AAAGAAAAATTGCTTTTTTTTCTTTCTTTTTTCAAATGATCAAAATGGAAATGCAGAGTTTACAAATTCTTTTTCTCATTCTACATAGTTTTACTTCTAATTATTTTCTTTTCTTTTTTTTCTTTTCTTTTCTTTTCCCACGCAAGAGGTCTTTTAAATAGGACTTTGATCTCTTTACTTTACATACTATGGCATTTTGACTGAAGATAATGATGTATACAAAACACATCTACAATTAAATACCACATTCAATGTATATTCATCAACGTGAAAAAATAAGCCTAAGAAACGAGAGAGAGAGACATATAAAATCTGTTTTGTTATCTCTCTCCCCATCTCTATCTCTAGTCTCTCTCATTCTCTCACTTTCATTCTTTCTCTTTCTCTCTCTCTCTCCCCCTTAATCATATATTAAATAAATAGACATAGCTCATGTGTTGATAAATATTTTGTACAATTTCCCCATGTATTTTGCATGGATATATAATTAAACCCTGAAGATATATATGTATATATATTTTTAGTTTTGAAAGGTTGTAGAATAATTTTTCTATAAAAAAAAAAAAAAAACGAAAAACGATTGCATGAATGTGGTATAAGTTACATAAATGAGTAAGTAGATAAGTACTGAGAACTTTCTCTTTTATATGTACAATGATGTCTTTGTATAATGCACAGTTCAGATATTGATAAGAAAGTATGTTTCAATCAATCAATCAATCAAACAAACAGAAAAAAAAAAATATATATATATATATAAAAAAAAATGAAACACGCAATTTTGTTACCTATTTATACAACACTGTAGAAAATTCTTGCAACTCCAGAGTTTTTGTATCTGTATCTTAATATTATTGTTGCATAGATACTACGAACCACAATATTACAATTTAACAACTTCGAATAATTTTCTATGCATCTAAGCATATAGGTTCATATGCGAAACATCTTACACGATCACACTTCATATTTTGATGTGATGCTTAGATACAGATTTGTGTGTGTGATACTTATATACATAATTTATGCATATCTCCTGGTAAAAAACTGAAAAATCAAGAATGCATTATTATTGGTTGTGCAATTTGAACTTAGATGCAAGTTTGGTTTGTTTTCACCGATTATATGGATGGATACAGTATATCAACTATTCAACGCAGACTTTTTCTAATTTTAATCATTAAAGAAACATAAATTACTGTTATTAAAACAATATCATCTAGAGCGTGTGTCAACGTGCATTAAATCCCAAAGGATTTATTTGAAATTCCGATCAAAGCATGTTTTTTTTTTTTTTTTCTTTATATTCAACGCATTGTTTGTATCATGCTAATAAAACGAAAATTGGTGATCAATCATCGCAAAAAAGTTTATGGTACTTTTATATAATCACATATAAAAGAAAAAAATAGAAAATGAGAAATACGCTTGATACAATGCACATTAATGTAAACATGTGAATTCAAGTCAAAAAATGTAAAAAACACATGAAAAGTATTTGTTTCAAACAAATAGTATTTACAATAAATTTACACGATATGTTACAGTCTTTTCTTTGGTAATGAACCAAAAGCTGATATAACAGTTGCCTTCGTACCAGTTGCAGAGGACGTTAACGTGGTTAAAGTTGGTTGAGATAACAAAACTGTAGGTTTTACTGACACAGTGGCACCAGTTGCAACTTGATCCCACTTACTTTTTCTTTTTTTAGCATCCTCTTCTGCTGTATTGGAAGAATTGTTTGGTCGTTTTGCAGTACCTGATACTATCTCGATTTTAGTTTTCTCCTTTCTAGCCTTCTCAAGTTTGTCCATCTCCGCTTTTTGTACCTTAGCCAATTCCTCGTAATAAGAATCCCTGCCCCATTTAAACGGATCGAATCTGTCTGGAGGATAATTTGTACCCAGCTCGTTGATGCTACAATACTGAATTAATTTTTCATAAATAGATGGATTTCTAAAATCTTTCCTTTGCTGTATGACTTTATTCATATCTAAACCGCCGCTCTCCATTTTCCTAAAAAGTTTAGTTATTTTTTCTTGTAATTCCGGTGGACATTGACCTGGTGGCTCAGGTGGTATGACAACTCCAAAAGAATCTATTTCCCCATCTGAAACTAATTCTCCTTGACACGAGGGAGACTGCTCGGTAGTCAAGGAAGGCCTTCCATTTTCTGAAGGCTGTTCCTCAACCACCATCGGCACAGCTCCTTCATCGTCGGAAACTATTGTATCATCAAAATATGAAACCAATCTCTGCACCTTTGATGTTACATCAGTTACTAAGGTGGGCGCGTTCGGCAAGTTGCTTTTAGACTTGCCACCAAGACTGGAAGCAACGTTGGGACTATTTGAGGCTGATCTGCCAGATTTGGGACTGGTGAGAGCCTGGGGCTGACCGACTTGGGCATTATGCGGGGCGGCCCCCTGGGGAGTGTTCGAATTCTCCTGAAGGTCGTCTTCCACCCCGTCTTCGCCCTCCGAGTCGGTATAGGTGGCCGTGAGAGATGCCAGAGCAACACTTTGTACAGACATGGTTAGTTGGCTTTGAGTGTCCGCCGTACTACCAAGCAATATTTTGTGTTGGAACTCACCGGTGTAGCGTCGTGTTGTTTACTGTAGGGCTTAAAAGCATGTACAGCTATCGTGAATAAATGCGCCCCAACATATATTGGAATGTTAATCTGTAAATCAACAAAATATAATCATCATTAATTATTAACAAACCAAAACCAACTGTCCAAACATGTGATATAAACAAAACAAAAAGAAATGATAAAATTAATGAAAAGATAATCAATAGATTTTAGTTTTATTAGAATTGAATTAAAAATGTTGACCATTGATTACGTACAAATAAAATTCGATTAATAACACGTGTTAGGTTAAGTTACTTATTCTTCAAACGTTCTAACTAAAACTAACCTGAATTTAAGAGTCCACAAACACCGTAGTTACACTATACTCATATCTTTATACATTATGTGCCATTCTTTACATATATTAATAGTGAGAATTATTAATTAATTCCACAAATACTATCAACGCGTAACTTCAGAAACTTAGCTTTGTTGCAAAATCCGAAGCGTACATGCGCAGAAAATAATTATTCCATCATTGACTACGCAACCAATAATAAGAACTCTTCTTTATCACGTGGTCATAACACATCTGCACATAGTTTAGATTATAACCAAATTAAAATAGTATAAAGAGAGAGTATAAATTTTATACTAGCCTTTTAATAGGAACACTATCTTAAATAAATGCTGTGTTATTCAAATTACTGATACGAAGTTAATCACAAATTTGATCAGCATAGAAAATGTACATTGGCGTGCATTAACGGCGCATGTTGGGTATATCCCCCCTACCACTTTACTAAATCTCTCTTTCAATACAGATTCTAGTATTGTTTATTTGCTGCAAGTGTATCTTTTTAATTATTATATTTAATTTATTCCAAAATCATAAAGTTTATTTTTAGAACAATAGTATTAGTATATATCTACTTTAAATTCCTATTTAATTTAAATAATTTTGTTGTAGAAAATTTAGTAATATTTTTAAACTAAGCTATTAACTATCTTTTAACTTATTTAGTTAACAAAATTGATATGATTTTAAAAAGAGATATAGTTTATTTCATATTATTAATATTAAGAATATTAATATTGTTAAGATTATTAAAAATATAAAAAAATAAAAAATGTATAATTCTAAATAAAAAGATGGGGGCTTAACAAATTTTACGTACGTTCCTGTATGTTGATGCAATTGCCATCTATCGATGAAGTTATGAACTAATTACGTGCAAAAATGACGTATGTCATGAAATAAATTTGTAATCTTTAATTAATAAAAACATTAAAACGTTAAGAAAAATTAATTTTATATTTAAATTATACTACAGAAAAATATCAGAAAAGTATCAATTTCGTTATTATGACAAGTTTTAAATTATTTAAAAACAAAAATTTACCATATTTTTTCGTCAAATAAATAATACGAATATAGGGAATTTTTTTAAACAAAAATGACAATAGTGTGCCAAATTGATTATGCAGATTACAATACTTTATAAAGTTTTTTTTTAATTTGAGATTTTATTTCATATTTTAAATTAATATAAAATAACTTTAAACATTTAAAAGTAAAAATTAAAGATGAAGATTCTTTATATTATTGTATGTACTATTTTAACAAAAGACATTGGACAGTATTGTTTTCTTTTATGTTCAAATTTTTAGAACAATTTCTAATTGATTTTCTGATCATCCATTAAAAACAATATTACCTTGGTAAGCTAAAATCTACATTTTAATTTATTTTAATAATTATTTTAGAACAGTTTTGTATATTATTAAATTCGTATGAAGTCTCTATACAAGCATATGTTTGATATTCAACTTTGAATATACTAAAAACTTAAATATAAACTAGAAAGTAATCTTCAATTTTTTATTTACAATTGTTCATTAAAAAACAATACAATATTTAAGGTAAGTCACAATTCCTATTTATAAGAAATTTAATAAACAATATTATAAATGTTTTAATTTAAATTTCTAGGGTGTTTGAAGGATACAGTTGTATGTATATGTGCGTGTGTGATGTAGTAATATTTGAATTTTTGATTAATAATTATCGAATAATAAATAATATTAATCAGAATACAGTAATTGAGGTTAAGTAATATCCATTTAAAAAAAAAATTAATAACAACAAAATGTCATAAGGAATTTAATGAGAATTATGTTTGGGTGTTTTAATGCAAGTGTATATGTATATGTGTGATGTAGTAATATTTTTGACATTTACATTAGCTACTCTGTTTCTTGTAATCTGCCTACCTAGCGATCTTTGATTCTGTGATAGAACAGCTGTTTACTAGAGAATTGTCGGCGATGACTATACAATAGAAATAAGAAGATAAAAGTTAATTAAAATTCTAAATATAACTTAATTAATATTACCAAATATTGAAGTGAATAATAAAAATAATATATAATCGATAATAACTTTCCATACTATATATATATTTAAAGTTTCTGTTTAAAAGAAGGAATAAAATTATCGGCAAGTGATTCAAGATGACATGGTTGTGTTATTTTATCTGTCATTAAGGTATTCGTCTAATAACAAGTTTAACGAAGTAAATAAATCTATTAAAATGGATGTTGTAACAACCAGTCTTGAAGCTTTGATTCGTAAGTATTATTCAATAATATAATATCTAACTCATTTGTAAATAAATGTGTTGTACGAATGATTACTAAAATAATTCTATTGTTTATCAATCAATTTTCTAATTTTACTTTTATATATCTTTATTTTATTGTTCATTAAACGTTTGTTATGTATATATATATATATATATATATATATATATATATATATATATATATATTTAGTTTATTTGTAGAAACAAACAAATAAACAAATGTAATATTGTAAAATATATTTTGTAGAAAGAGCTACGAATCCACAGAATCAGAAATCTGATATAGCAGCTATCGAAGCGTTCTGTGTTATGGTTACGAAAGAAACAGAAGGTGTTCAAATAGGCAGTAAATTATTAGCAACGCACATTCAATCATCTAATGAATCTGAAGCTCTTCAAGCTCTTACAGTAAATATATAATTATTAATAATTATATATAAATGTATGTTTTTTTTCTTTTTAAATAATTGATTTTATTTTGATACAGGTGTTAGATACATGTATGAGAAGATGCGGTCCAAATTTCCACGCAGAGGTTGGAAAGTTTCGTTTTTTGAATGAAATGATACGACTTGTATCACCAAAATATTTAGGTAATACAACTCCTGTCGCTGTACGTCGAAAAGTATTACAGTTATTGTACTTATGGACAAAAGAATATCCACGAGAATCAAAAATCAAGGAGGCCTACGAAATGCTTAGAAAGCAAGGAGTCGTAGAGGTTGGTCTTATTGATCTACTTACAATATTTTTATAAAATCAAATATATCTAATATCTGAAGATTAAGACGATATGAAACTTCAGGAGGATTCAGTACCTATTATAAGTGATATAGATGAAACCTTTAAAACACCTAAAGCAAAGAATGCGATATTTGAGGATGAGGAAAAATCAAAGTTGTTACAGAAATTATTACAAAGTAAAAATCCTGGTGATTTACAAGCTGCTAATAGATTGATCAAAACTATGGTAAAAGAGGTAACTAAAATAAATATACGACTTTGTTACATATTTTTGTTTTACATTTGTTTTTGAATATAATATTAATATAAATATATATATATATATTTTGTTGTGTAGGACGAAAGAAGAGTACAATTGAATTCACGAAGGATTATGGAACTGGAATCAGTTCACAATAATGTCAAATTATTATCTGAAATGTTAGATTCATATAATCAAAATGAAACTAGTCCTGAAGATCTTGAATTAATGAAAGAACTTCATCAAGCTTGCGAACGTTTAAAACCCACCGTTTTAAGATTGGCTAATGAAACTCAAGACAGTGAAGAAATGCTTGGTAAATATTTGATTAATTTAAATATAGTAATATATTGAATAATTTTTATAATTATATTTTGATATCAAAATATAGTTTTGATTATTATTATTATTTTTCATTATTATAAGATATAAGTATGTATATATTAGGTGATGTACTCGCAGCGAATGATGCATTGGGTCAAGTATTTGATAAATATACTGCTGTGATAATTCTCGGTCAAAAATTTACTAAAACTAATATTAATAATGATCCATCATTATTGGATTTATCTTCTCCGATTGATTCTGCTAGTTCTGAATGTACTTCAAATGTAGAAACAGATAAAACTAATAATACAGTGACAACAAATTCACAATCGGACATGGAAGTTCTTGGAGATATATTTAATTCTTTAGGAAAGTCTATGGATTTTTCTTTAACTGCAGATACAAATATTTTAATGCCAGAACCATTGATTATGGATCCGATAAATGCTCAACAAAATGGAAAGAAAAGTATGTGTACGTGTTTATTAAATTAATAATTACGAATTATATATAAGTATTATCATTTTATTTTGTTAAAGTTGGCGATAATGCTGATACACCTGAGAAAAAAATGGATAGCAAAGCCAGAGCATTAGAGGAATTAAATGAATTGGGAGAATCTCTCCTTAAACAAAGTTTGTCATATAAAGTGGCAAAAGAGTTGCCTTCGGATGGAAAGTTAGTGATAATGATATAATATTATTAATATATGTTCTTTTTATATTTATTCATGTTTTACTTATTTTTATACTATAATCTTCATATTTTCTTTTTTTCTTTTTTTCTTTTTTTTGATAGAAAAATGTCTTTAGCTAATGTTGGTAAACTTCAATCAAAATTTGATCATCACAATTCTATGGGTTTAACTTCTACGAATAATAATGCAACACAACAAAATATAATAGATAAATCAAGTAAAAATGAAAATGATAAAGTTAAAAGAGATTTAATATCTCCTAGTTTTCTTAATGGTGATGATACATTAGTCGATGTATCGCAACCTACTGATAAAAATAAAAACATTGAAACAAGTGAAAAAAATACATCGACAAAAGTAAACGATATACCAGCATTAACTTCTGATTCTGAACCAATGATCAAGTCTCTAGCTGATATTAATGTTAATCTTCAAGATATTAAACCAGGTATATATATAAAAATATTGTGTATATATATATGTTATAAGTGTACATATTAATTGTATCTTTTTGCATAGGTAAAAATCCACCAATAACAGTAATAGAAGAAAAAAATGGTATCTCAGTAGTACTTCATTTTGCACAAGACAGTCCAAGACCAGATGTTTCTGTAATAGTAGTTACAACAATGAGTAAAAATGCCAAACCACTTAGCAATTATTTGTTCCAAGCCGTAGTACCTAAGGTAATACAAAGATAAGATCAAAATTAAACTCTTATTCATTATGTAATAAGCATACTATTTTAATTTGATATTTTTTAATATATATATATTTTTTTTTACATAAAGAAATGTAAGTGTAGACTTCAACTTCCTTCTGGTACAGAATTACCAGCACATAATCCGTTTCTTCCACCTTCAGCGATTACACAAATAATGTTAATTGCAAATCCACTTAAGGTAAATACAAAATATTATAATAATTTATATATACTCTATCTTGCATATATGATTAAATGTTATAATTTTTATATTTGAAAATGATTTTAGCAATCAGTATCTTTAAAGTTTATGTTGAGTTATACGATGGACGATGAGACTTTTACTGAAATGGGTGAAGTGGATAGACTTCCACATCTATAAAATTAATAAGATCAAATAGAACATAAGAAGAATGTGAGTAATATGACGATAATGATTTTTTTTAAATACAAATGAAGAGTATTTCTGGACTGAGCATTTACTACTACATTTCACTCCATTATATATCACTGGGACAAAACTGAATCTTATTAGCATAAGTGAATGTGGAATGTTCTTTTATTACAATCTATATACATATATTATATATATATATATATATATTTTTTTTTTTTCCTAACATTTCAAAGAACAGTCTCTTAATAATGCAGACATTATGTAGGTATAGAAAAAAAAGTATTTACTTGAATTATTTCCAAAAAAAGAAGTAATTATGATTAAAATACAATTATTTGCCATATTGATAAACAAAAAACAAAAAAAATATTTATTAGTGTAAAGAGAATAAAATTCTAAATTAAACAATGCTTATTAAAATATTTCCAGCTATAAAAAAAAAAAAAAAGAAATGATTTGTTATATAAAGAAAATGATTAAAGTACAAGATATATAATACTTATATAGCACATATTTATAATAAATTGTTGAAGTGATATTCATGTTTAGTACGTATGCTATTATACATGATGCAAAAAAAAAAAGAAAAGAACAAATAGAAAATTAAAAAGACACATTTCAAAATAATTTCATCTTTACAAACTAATATTTCGTTATATTAATTTTCTACTAATTGCCAGAAAATGATTTCCTTTTTCACGATAATTGATGTATCTATCGAATATAAAAGAAAAAGAAAATATTGTTGAAGTGAAATTAGTTGTAATCTTATAAAATATTATATTTACACAAATATAATTGTATCTTTACGATAAAATGCAACAGTATTAACAATATCTAAGCATCTGTTATTGAAATGAAATATTTTTTCAAATTAAATGATAAATCATTTTATTACAAATTTCAATATGTTTGTGTTCGTTCAAATTTATAAAAGTATATGCAATTTGATTGATTTAACAAATTTTCCTAAAACAATTACATTCGTTTTTTAATTTTAAATGATATTTTCTTCAATATAAATATATATATATATATATCCTCTTATATATTGGAAATTAAACGAATGTAAATTATTGTGATATGTAATATTTATAATATTACAGCATAGATTATTAATGTTTGCATGAAAAATAGAATTATAAATGAAAATATGAAATCACCAATGGAAATTTTTTAAAACGTATAACACAAGTTTTTTTATTTGGATAAATTCTTTTCTATTAATTTGTTAAAAAGATTTTTCTTGAATTTTTGTGTCAATTTTATATTCGTTTGATTCTTTAATTACAAATAAAAGCGATTATTTGTTAAATACTAATTATAAATAATATTAGAGTTACTTTGTTACGTTCGAATTGGTATTATTATAATTATTACATCGATAAAGTAATAATATTTTTTATTGAAACAGATGTTTCAATTATTAATTGATATCACATTTGATGAATTTATAACATCGTTTTCTGCAAAAGTTACTTTACACACAAATTAAAAACAGGAATTGTAAATAAAAAAGAAATGTAATATGGCTTTGAGAAAACATTGATTAATATTGACTGAAGTTATATATATAATATATACACAAGAAAAATATATATATATATATTATAATAATTAATTGATATTAATCAATATGAATATACATAAATACTACTAATGTTATGGAGATATAAACTGATGATGCATTCATATATATCTATAAAAAGACATTTGCAAATAGGAAACCATAATGATTTTTGTATTCTTGAAACTTTCAAAGTATAATTATCAATAGAAAATTGTGCATTAGCATTTGTAATTGTTTGAAGTACTACCTTGGTTCTTTTATTCTTTCTATATATTTTTTATTTTTACTTTTATTTAAAAGTAAATCCTGTGAGATCTTTGTACTTAATATTAAAAGTGATGCTTGAGGCTATGGTAGTATAATACATATGTATGCGTGTATAAAAAAATCATTAATTTAAAAATACCAAGAGTTCCATATTGACGAGTTTATATCTCATATTTCATATTAGATATATATGCCTTCCTAATTTTTTTTTTCACTAATTAAAAAAAAAAAAATAAAACATAAATAAAGTTGTAATATATTATAAGTATTTAAGATCTCAAATATAAAAGACTACATGTAGAAACATTAAACAATATGTGAATTGAAAAGCACGATATCCATATACACAAATTAGTGTGTAACACATTTTCTTAGGATAAGGAGCCTTGAATGGTAGTATAGAAAACAAATATATTGGATATAATCATTAAATATGTGTATAACCGATCGATCGAATGATTAAAAAATATTCTCAGGTAAATTTACTCGATAATTAACTGAGAGAGAGATACAGTTGTTCTTTTACGATATATACAATTGAACGAGTAAATAAGTGTAATATTTAAAGCTTGTTTTTTTTTATATATATATATATATAGGTATTTTCAGAACTTTGTTTTAACATTCATTTTGTTTCTCTTTTATATCATATTAAATACAAATATTTTTAAGAGTATTAGTTATTATATTATATTTCTTAAAGTACAGATACTTACTATGAAAAATGAAATTTATTCTAAAAAAAAAAAGACAAAAAATAAACTGATAGCAACTGTGGGTATAATATTGTATATGAAAGTTTATAAATATTACAGAATCTTTGATACCGTTTGTACAAATAATTAATTGTATGTTATACTTATTATTATTATTATTATTATATATATATATATATTTCATTTCAGTTATTTCTCATGATACTTTTGCTTTTAAGAAGTTCTGAAACTGTAAATGTCTACGATTGACTAAAGTTATGCCATCAAATATTTGAAACGATAAAAATGTAATATTATATTTTATTTCTATAGAACGAACATAGTAAAAAAAAAATAAAAAAAAAACAGAAAGAAAGAAAGAAAGAAAAAAAGAATAAAAAAAAACAAAAAAAAAGAAGGTCTGATGAAAATATTATATTATCAATGAATATTTATTAATTTTGTTTCTTTTGTTTGTTTGTTAATAGTTGTTATTGTATTCTGGTATATAATATAAGATATATTTTAAGAAATATATTTTACACAGTTGTCTCGATATTAAATTATATCTGCAAGTAATAGCACATAATATATAATATGTATATTTAAGTGATTAATAATGAAATACAAGTTTAATTACAAATTCTTTATCTACTCTTTGTTTGTTTCTATCGTATTTGCTTTTTTTTTCTTTTTTTTTTTTTTTTATAATAGATAATATCATTTTAATTTCGTTGAAGAAGACAACATTGTAGCTTAATGTATTACAGCGATAAGAGATTATTGTTTTTATATGCCTAAAGTAAATGTGTATAACATTACATATAGTAAATTTAATTAATTAATTTAATTAAATTTTGTTGGTTTTTTTTTTTTGAATTTTAATATTTTCAATAGAATATAATATTATTATTATATTCAAATGAATAATATTAATTTATAATAGATACAGAGGAGGAGGCATATAATATTTTGTTACATAGTATATTATTATTCTAAAAAATGTTCATGCAAACGTTTTTAGCATATATTAAATGCTATTAAAAAATACTTTATTTTAATTCTCTCTCTCTCTCTCTCTTTCTCTTTCTTTCTATGTTGTTTAAACTTTTGTAATATAATATTATTATTATTTTTATTGTTACAATTTGACTAAAAGTAGCTTCATAGCAAATGTTTGAAATAGTTTGGAAAAATAATGGTGGTCCACGATAGAGAATAAAGCTAAGGCATATAAGGTGGTAGGATTTTAAGCGATGCTTAATAATATAAACAGTTCGTATATGTGTATATGTTATTCGTAGAACTGTTATTTAAACTATGATCTAAAAATATCTAATGAAAAAAAACTAAGGCCACTCATTTTCGTTTATTTTGGTTATTGTTTTTTTTTGTTTTTTTTTTTTGTTTTTATTCTGTTAGAAGGATATTATTTAATTGTTTTTTTAGGATGGAACTCTATATTTTAACTGCATGATTATCTTTCGTTTATTTTAAAAGCGTATAGTCTTATGAAAATATTATTTGTCCTTCTCTTTGTTTCAGAATTAATCATAATTAGATAGAACTGTTCTTCTAATGCATGAAAATTATTTTAATGCTGATACAATCCACAATGGAATGTACAAATTGTTAAAAAAAAAAGTAACAAATTTTAAATGTGTTCTACGATGGCAGTAGTAATTTCTAAATGATATCTAAAACATTATTAATTTTGTTATTGTGTGTATGTGTGTGTGTGTGTGTGTGCATCTATTAAAAATTAAAAATAAAATAAAAGAAATAAAAAAGATTAAAAAAAAGAAAGAAAATAAAAGAAAAGAAAAGAAAGTTGAATAAACATACTAAAGAGTATCGATTTGATAAAGATAGAAATTTTTGTTTAATAGACTTACAATGCAAAAGCATATCCATTAAAATCTAATTCATATAATAAACTTGACTAAAATCTTTGATGTGAATGGTAATGATCAAACCACGAACATCTTTAATATGCCTGCGACATATTAATTTGCCACTTAAGACTTCACCTATAATAATAATAATAATAATAATAATAATAATTTTGATATTATTTCTTTTTTATACGCTACAATTTATAATGTTAGAAATATATGTTAATTAAAATCTTACCTTCGGTTATACTAATAGGTTCTTTTAAAGAAAATACTGTTTGTTTCCAGTGAGTTGGAGGAGCATTTGGTCCAGTACTAAAATTGATTGCAGTTTCTAAATCAAAGAATACATCAAAGTAACCAATTATCGCAGTTAATGATCCGGTTTTTTTCACAGTTAAATTGAAAGGCGCTGAGAAGTTAACACAATCTGTAGTGACTGTATATAAGTCAAATGTCTGAATTTCGGCAGGAGTGGTTATAATATATTCAGGCCTACAAATTTCTATGCTTGGTTCTTTCAAAACTTCGTTTTTCATGCAGCTCATTTTAAAACCGTAGACGTTTGACCAATAATCAATCAAATCTACGTATCTTTCTAAAAATGAATTTATCTTTCATTATTTCTTTGCAATATAAATTGACAAAAAAATATTCGAAAAATTATAATAAAATTTGTATAACATCGATTTAAAATATTATTATTTTACTAACGTGTATCACCACTTCCAACTATACTCATTGAACATCTGTTTGGCATTAGTACACCATTAGTTACTAAATAATGATCCCTTGCATAAATAATTGTGTCTAACATTCCTTCGAATAACAAAAAATATCCCATCCATTCGGAAATAATTGCATCTACTTTTTCTTCTCCAAGAGTGATATCCTCCAAGCGACCTTTCTTTAACGTAATAACGTTATCTAAATTATTTTCCCTAGAATAAATATGAAATTAAAATTGTAACATATGTTTTTTATACTTTTATTATCATACTCTCTTTTTTTTTTCTTATGCAAATACGAATAATTAAATTAATATATATTTTTTTATTTTTTTTTTATTTTGATTTATATTAGATACCTTACAATATCCATAGCCTGATATATTACATCAGATTGGTCAACGCTAATAACTTTGCGACAACCAGATATTGCTGCAAACATAGATAGAATACCTGTTCCACAACCAACATCCAACATTATACAATTATTAAATCTAGTTGAATTTGAAAACAATGCATCACGATAACTTTTTGTTCTTATTGAATCCTACAAAGAAAAGAAAACGTTATATATGTAATAATATATATTTTATACTTAAAGAGATATTTTATATAAAAAATAAATATATACATACAGTCAACATTTCATGATGAATAGCAAAATGACTGTACGTATTAAAATATCCTTCATCGGCATGTGAATTACGTTTTGTTTCAATTATCTCTTCTACGTTTTCTTGTTCGTCATCCAAAACTAATTTTTGTGCTTGCTCTACCATCTCGTTCACTTGCTGAAATTATATTAATACATTAATTTTAATATCTTTATAGAAATACGTCTAGCATGATAAAGAAAAAAATAAATAATAATAAAAAAAAAAAGAAAGTCATATACAATATACAATGATCACATCTTAATACCTGTTTAGCTAAAAAGCATGCTATTTCACGTTGTTCTAGTTGTGCTTTAAGTGTTTGAATCGTCCTTTGTAGCTCAGCAAAATGTGCTTCCGATAAAGTAACGCACCCATTCTCTGAATTTACAGTGTAACTAATAACGTTTACAGGTTTTTTTTCTAAATCTTCGACATCTTGAAGGAGAAAAAAAAATATTTGTACAGCAGACACATATGCACGTATATGTGTACATGCACACGTCGCGTATAACATTACCATTTAAAACTATTAAGTGTAAATTTAATATTGGTATTTAATGAAATTCATTTAAGAAATATATTGTGTTTTGCGTATTATCAATAAAGGTACGTACTAGCATCGCGTTATTAAAACAATTAAATTATCCAATATATATATATATATTTTTTTTTTTCATTTATTAGTAGCAGTACACATAGAAGCATGTTCTGAGAACTATCCATGTTATCAACGTTATACGTTAATCTCACCTGATATTATGCCAATTATAATATCAGAGTAATGTTGAATTTATATTACGTTATTTGGTATTTGTTTTTTTTTTTGTATAACATTTGCATGCATCATTTTCCTATACACATAATATGTTGTATCAAATCTATGATTAATTTATTAATTAACATTGAAATGTTGACAGATATAAACTGTCTATTACTCATGTACTATTAGTATGTTAACTATACACAACGTCACTGCATAAAAATGCTACTATATTACAATGAAACATAAACTGATATACAGGGTGTCTTGTAAGTACGAGAGAATAGGGTGTAATACTACATGAAAAATTATATGAACAAATTTGATTTCATATTTTCTATTTAGTTTTTCATATAGAATCATCCCTGTGCTCACTTGTACTATCAGTTACAGGACATCCTGTATATATTTATAAGTAAATTACAATTTTACAGATTAAATTACAAATGACTGCTATACATTAATTTTAATGTTAATATATACTTAGCCAATAGCATAACTAACATCATAGATATATGATAGCTTACCATACATTAATAATGGGTCATCCTCTATAACAGGATATAAATATTCATCATTCTGCCAATCTTTTATACATAATGTATTTAATTGTTCTGGTTGAATATTTTTTTGTCGAATGAAATTGATTAATTTAATATATGAATAGGTATCAAGAGAATGTTTTGTTATAAAATTGCTTAAAGCAAAATTATGAAGTACTTCAAGATGCTTCAATGCATTTGTTATTCCATCAGTAGTATCTTTACAAAAAAGACATGTAACAGTTTGAGCATCTTCATTAGTTTCACTCCAATCATCACCACTATCTGCATCACTAGTTTCATCCATTTCAATGACCGGCGTTACTTCTATTAAGAATAAAAAATAAAATATAATTAAAAATAATTCTATATATATAAATTAAATAGAATAATAAGTATTTTGAAGTTATTATTGCACACGTACATATATAGATTGATTTTAAATATAAAAAGAAATTTAAAAAAATGACATAAAATTATAATAATTCTATTATATATGATCAAATAGAAAAAAGATTAAACATTAATGACTAAATATATATTAATTCTATACCTTGTTCTGTCATGATGAAGATTATAATATTATTGGATGCTCAAGATTTTTTTATACATAATGTTGTATATAATGATTTTTTTAAGGTTAGAAAATCTATACAATGCATAAACTACTTTTTTATAAGATTACCAACAAAGCATTATATTAAAGATTGATAGAATCAGTAACTTTTGATTACACACTATAGAATTAAAAACGTTTCTGCGCATGCTCGAAATAGTCTTTTTTAATTGGTCATTATTTTATGGACTCATTTACATAAATTTATCATGAGAATCAATCCATCGTTAACCTTGGCTCCATTAATATATGAGTTACGTTCATATTTTTGGTCGTAGTGGTGAAAATTAATTGAAATCCAGATTTAGTGATCCCTAATAAAAGGCACCAGGTGTAAGGAACAACGTTTAACGATCTTAATAATAGTCAGCGTTGTCTCGTTCAAGCTCGTTTGTTTCATTCAGAAGGCCTAATAATGCTTACGGTAAATACAAGAGTTCAACAAGGCACACATGATTCAAGTAGTAAGAAATATTTGACGTCTGCTAGTTGAATAATGAAAGTATTTAACTAATCGTTCTCTTTTTTTTTTCTTTGATTGTTTTTTTTATAGACTGCCTTGAGAGGGATCGTACGACGATCATTTTCGACATCAAAATGTGCCCCAGCACAACAGGTTCAATATTTTATTCATATTTTTCAATTGTTAGAACATAACCTTTAATTATAATGTTTTATATATTATTACTTTCCAAAGATATATATTTATGTATTGTGTGTAAAAACAATGAATGAAACTTTATTCGTTGAATTATTTTCTATACTAATTCTTTCAATAATTATTTTTATATTTGACATTTATTTAAAAAATGATTATCTAATAGTTTTACTTGTTGAAGGACAGAGAAGGTCACATATTTTTAATTCTAATAATGTAATAGTTTTTGTTTGAATACTGATAAAGATAATCTTTAGATTCTGTGGAATGTCATAATTGATATGGTATTTTTATGTTCTAACGTTGTCATTTATTAAATCATTCTAATATTCATGTAATATATATATATATATATATATTGTTACCATAGATGACTGTGCGAGATGCTTTAAACTCTGCCCTGGATGAAGAAATGGAAAGAGATGAGAAAGTGTATTTACTTGGTGAAGAAGTAGCCCTTTACGATGGTGCTTATAAAGTATCCAGGGGTCTATGGAAAAAGTATGGTGATAAGCGTGTCATCGATACACCGATCACAGAAGCTGGTTTTGCTGGTATTGCTGTTGGTTCTGCGATGGTAAGTAATAAGCATCATATAAATATTAATATAATCTAAAGGGATTATTCATTCTCATCTGATACAGGCTGGGCTTCGACCAATTTGCGAATTTATGACTTTCAATTTTGCTATGCAAGCAATCGATCAAATAATCAATTCGGCTGCTAAAACTTATTATATGTCTGCGGGAAAGGTTAATATACCAATTGTCTTCCGAGGTCCAAATGGTGCGGCTGCAGGTGTTGCTGCACAACATTCTCAATGTTTTGGTGCTTGGTATAGTCATTGTCCTGGTTTAAAGGTAGTTTCGCCATATAATAGCGAAGATGCTAAAGGTTTATTAAAAGCTGCCATAAGGGATCCTGATCCAGTTGTCGTATTAGAAAATGAGATCCTCTATGGAGTTCAGTATCCAATGTCTGACGAAGCATTGGATAAAAATTTCGTTTTACCTATAGGAAAAGCTAAAATAGAACGTGTTGGAAATCATGTTACTTTAGTGGCACATTCCAAGGCCGTCGAACAAGCTCTTGAAGCAGCTAATGAACTTGCCGGAAAAGGGATAGAAGCTGAAGTTATTAATCTTCGTTCTCTTAGACCATTAGATATGGATACCATTTTACAATCAATAATGAAAACAAATCATTGCGTTACCGTAGAACAAGGTTGGCCACAGTGCGGCATAGGTGCGGAAATCAGCGCAAGAATCTCAGAAAGTAAGTTTATATTCTTTGTTTATTTATTTAATCTAAATTTATATTTAATATATATCTAATATGTATTGTGATAAATCTTTACAGGTGAAGCCTTTTATCATCTAGACGCTCCAGTAGTTCGCGTTACTGGTGCCGATGTTCCTATGCCATATACGAAAAGTTTGGAAATAGCAGCATTACCACAAGGAGGCGATGTAGTATTTGCTGTAAATAAATTATTAGGGGTAGAGTAATGAATAATAGAAATATTTAGGTATAATTAATATCCTTTTGTTTCTATTGTTCCTTTTCCTTTAAATTCAATTTTTAGTACATTTTTTTCTTTTACTTTTAATCTTTCTATTTATAAATAAATACATATAATAAGTACAAAGTTTTAGAAAAGGAAATAGAACAAATAACTTCAACACAAGATCAATCCGAATTGCGAACATTTGTCGTCTCTCAATGTTCATGACTTACAATTAGATTTTAAACGAAATTAAATACGACATAATATGTTTTTTTAACGACTACAGAAATTACAAAATCAAATCAGAAAATCTTTACGCAAAGGTATTCGTAAAGTTTCAGTGAATATTTAAACAATAAACAATTATATATATTCACATTATAAAATATTCTTCAAGTATATAATACAATCACATATTGAATATTTATAAAATCCACATTTTAGGATAAATATTTTATTTATTGAACAGGATATATATTTCAATGTTAAATTATACTATTTTATTATATATATTTAAATTATATACTTTGCAATTTCTTAATCTCTTTTTTTTACACATGCAGATATATTGTTTGAACATTTATATTATAACATGTTTGTAAATATGATAAATACCAATATACTGCCATATTTGAAATTGCAAATTGCCTTCACTTAATGAGTTTGTGTTTCTAAAACAGAAATATATCAAACTCTTGCTGTACACTCATCAACATAATTAATCATATTTCAATATGCTGCATTTGTTTATTTATTACTTATTAATGAGTAATAAATGAGTATATCCATGTATCAATAATTTGTCTTTCCACTTGTATGTTGTGACATGTCCCTTTTAAATATTTATCACATTTAATTTGTTTGTTGTTTCTGTGCTCGTTGTTATTGGTCATGTGTGATACATTCGTAATAAGCAACATGTTACAACTGTCATGTAACGTTCAAATGCATCTCTAATTTCAACCTCTCTGGAAAAAAAAAATATATATATATATATATATATATATATATATATATATATAATTCAATTGAAATAATATTTTATGTGTATAGAAAAGTTCAACGATAAATATTAATACCTCAAAACATCCATATCCAATGCACATTGTGTATAAACGGATAAGAAGTTTCTAAGATCTGTATGAGACCAATTAACTTGTTTCCACGGTTCTATACATCTTTCAACTAATTCTAAAAAGAAAAATCTTAATTCTCTAGATCTGTGCAGACTACAGCCTATTCCTAAGATAGCTCTCGTGTAAGAACGAAAATTTGTATCAACCTCTTGGTATGAACGTTCAAGTAACATCGGTTTAAGTTTGATGCACACCAAGCTGAAATGTATTTATATTAAAATAACTAGTATTCATTCATATATATTATTTTTTATATTATGTTATACATAACTTACTGTTTATGATGTTTATCGTTTTCTAATAGTACTCTACATTCAGCGAGTTCAACCAAAAATTCTCTATCAAGATCGGTGTCAAAATACTCTGATCCAACACATCGATAAGTCCAAGCTGCCATCATGCTATTAGCACAATGATACAAATCAGGAAATGTGAGAAATTGCAATTTTCTTTTATTCATTTCAAATCTTAAACAAGCAATGAATACTACTGCTCCATAACGTCTGTAAATATTAAATTATACATTTATTTATATACATATATATATATATATAAATAATATAATTAGAAATGATAAAATGAATCTGTATGTACTTGGCAAGATCTTCAGAAAGTAAGAAATGTTGTCTGATATTAGCGACTAAAGATCCTGGTAAATCTTCAACAACTTTGAAAACTCTTTTGACATTATCGTACTGTCTACGACAACTTTTTAAAGTAATTCCAGTCTTTTCCGATACCTCGTCCATGTCTTTTCTACTTTTGGATGTTAATTTCTTTCCCAGTAATTCTCGAACAACAACATCGTCAAATTCATAGTACCTATAAAGTAATGGAATTATAATAATTTTCATTTTATTATACAAATAGATAAATAAAAAAAACTATATTCTTACATTTCAATAAGCATTTGACTAGTTTGTGGTTCTATTTGAAACGACAGTTGTTCAGTTGCTAATTTTGTTGGAGTATGAAGTAATTTTTCTAAAAGTGCATATGTACGATAATGATCAAGGACATCAGATGTTACTAGATCTAAGGGTGCATTAGTTAATAAACAAATTCCACGTTGTTGTAATATATTAACTGCATCACTTGCTGTTGAAAAAATATTTGTCATATATTTGATAACATATAGTTAAATATTATAATGTTAATCGAATTTAATGAAAAACTTACAAGAGTTTCCATCAACCCATAGTTGATAGATTTCAGGATCAACTAGAGTATAATTACTTACAAAAACGTCAACGTCAGACATCATTTTTTAAGGTTATATTCAAATACATATGCAATTACATTTTTTTTTTATATATATACATATATTAATTTTATTATTAATTACATATTTGTAGTATTTATCGTTTGTTATTATTTTATAAATATTCAATATTTTCTAGTTTATATCAATTTCTTTAAATAACATTTATATATTTATATTTGAAATGTCAGACAACAGTTTTAGGTTAACAAGTTTTATGTGTATAATTATTAATTTATCTATTAATTTTTTTTATCTAATTATTATTACGAATGGGTCTCTTTATTATAATATTAATTATTTATATCTTATATTAATAAATATGCACATAAACACTATTTTTTTTTTAGTCGACTACAAAATACGTTTATCAAATTTAAAGAGTTTTTTTCACATGGATAATCATACAATTTTATGTTTCTAAATATAATTTAATAATTTGTGGTTAACAACAATATAAAATAGTTTTATAATAGATTTATTTATATTTTTAATTTTATATTGTTGCTTTATTTATTATAAAAATAATATTTACATGAATGAAAAGAGAAAGAAACATAAAATGTCATCTATTGATAAAATAGAAATGATATTTTATCGACGAGAAATAATCGGTTGGTAATAGTAGTTCATCTTAATTAATTTCGGTACCACCAGTGGGCAATAGTAGGTACTTTTAGCAATGACAGTATATATAGTATAACATACTAATGATCTCAGTGCTATTCAAACATATTAACAATTATTTTAAATAACAAATGTCTTTCTATTTCTATCTATCTATCTATTTAAATATTAATTTCAAAATTATTCTCAGTAAAAATCTCTCATATTAATCTTCCTGTTCTTCTGCTCTTTAGGCAACCCGTAATACAGTGGTGTATAAACAGTTTGGGTAGAAAAATAATTCCGTCCCAACAGATAGCGCTCGCAAGCAACATTTTCAAAGTGTGTCTGGAGGGTTGCATCTCTCTAGGTATAATGTTTTTATAAATAATGATCAAAATTTTATTTTAATTTTGTAATTAATACACTATGTAGTTGCACACAAACATACACATATAGAATAGAAAAAACTGTATACTATATTCTATTTCATTCTCTCTTAGAGTAAATCTTATAGATGTATATATATTTCTCTTTTTCTCTTTTTAGTACTGTAACTATTCACACACTTCATAGTGTGTATTTTATTCTATAAATAATAATAAACTATAAAATGTATTATATTATTTTATTAATTATAACTATAAAGTCATAATTTAGGAATAAGGCTGTCTTTCGTACGTTTTGTTTTTCTAAATGTAGAGTTGGTATTATAAATCTTGATAATAACCTTGTTTTCTCATTATACTTAATATCATTAAAAGAATGTATATATTTGTATATGTGTATGTATTTGATTCTGGTGTATAGCGGGTAGCATGTTTTATTCTTTCTATCTTCTTTTTCTATTATTCTCTCTCTCTCTCTGTCTCTGTCTCACTTTTACTATTTCTCTATTTCTCGGGGCGTTTCACTACTATTCTCTCTTTCTCTTTCTTTCTTTCTTTCTCTCTCTCTCTCTCACTCTCTCTCTCTCTTGTTGAGTCTGTCTTTCGTAGAGAGGAGGAAGGAAACGCTCCAGGAAATTCATTTGCAGAGACGTGGCACTGCGCGGCAAAACACGAATGATATATTTACATGGCGTCGAGGGAGAAACCGGCGAGATGGATTTACTCGAGAGAGCTTTATCGAGCGTTACGAGCTACCGTGCACGACGTATAAAGCGTACCTTTCGAGAAGGAGAAAGGGATCCGAATAGATGGATAGATAGATAGATAGATGGATAGGTAGATGGGTAGATAGAATAAGAGTAAAGATTATTGTTCTTACTAATTTTTGCTATTTTAGATTTTTAATGGGAATTATATTTTGGTATTTTGTATTTGTATGGTTTTCAGATAGATAGATAGATGGTTAGACTAGATATCTAGTTTTACACTGTCCTGTAATAAAAGTAGAGTGTATTAAATTGTAAGGATTCTTTATCTATACAGATTTTGGGAAATTATTCTTTCATATGCTGCATTTCATATTAGACATTTTTATATCGGTGATTCTTTTCTATACAATTGTATTCTTTTATGCGAAACGACAAAGTTTTCGTAATGTCTATATTGTCTTTATTCTATTCATTATTTTTAGAATATTTATAAGTTATGTGTACATTTATTAGAAAAATAGAAATGATTTTTAATTTATTTAATAAATAAATTATTATTTGTAGTTTGACCAGCGTGGTCATGAAGAAGAACAGATTCCGTCCGTGTAGGAAGCTGTGAAGGCCCTTTTCATGTTCAAAAAGTTGAATTAGCCAATCACAGCCCGTCTTTCGTCCGAATTCTTTAGTTTCATGGCGTCATTCGTGGAGAACACATCGGAGTGTCATCGTCTCGTTAAAATCAGGTAATTAAAAGATATTTTGTAAGGTTCACACCTTTCTATTACAATGTATAAAGGATAAAAGGATCAATTTTGATTTTTTGAGTATATTTTGACAATTTTTGTGGTCCTATATCATATTTTTAATCATTCGAAATTTTATTTTATTATAGATGGAAAGAAGATATACTGCGCATCATTTTCGCGCATGCAGTATTTTCGCGCCAGTCTTACGCGCCTGTTTTATGCATATCAATATGGCGAATCTTTCGAATCTTTTAATCTGTCATCCGTATATTTGTTGCAGCGGATTTTGTTATCCCGTTAATTTCAGGTAATTTTTTCAAATAATTTTCTAAATTAAATCTTCCTATTATCAAATGATGTTATATATCAAATGATATGTCATGTTACATAATCAAATGATATATAACAATTGTTACATATCAAATGATATATAACAAATGTTGTATATCAAATGATATATAAAAAATGTTATATATCAAATGATATATCATGTTATATAATCAAATGATATATAAAAAACGTTATATACCAAATGATAACTACATGCAAAATTTTTATATGTGAGTATTTTCATATTTTACTTTTTTTTAGCTTTCTGAGCATGAGGAGAGTTACACCACGAATTCACATACCTAACCTTTTAACTTTGTGGCAGCTTTTTTATCTTTTCTATATATGGCGAGGTGAGCATTATTTTTGTTAAATATAAGCATATAAGCATATAGAAATACTACAGAAAGAGTGAGAGAGAGAGAAGAATAAGAAAACAATACACTCGACATATAAGTTATTATAAATGTGTATTTTTATTTCCAGGAATTTCTCGAGGAATTTTCTTCGTCGAATTTCC